GTGTGTGTGTGTGTGTGTGTGTGTGTGTGTGTGTGTGTGTGTGTGTGCGCGCGAGTGCTTGTGAGAGAAAGAGTCAGTACTATTCTTGGCTGGCCGGGGAAGTCTTGGCTCCCAAGCGTATGGGAAAAGTGCTCTTGGCAAGTCTTGAACTCAGGCATTCCATTATGCTGTCCTCTTGAAACACACACAGACATACAAACTTGCTTTAGTCACTCAAGAGGTCACTCCATTGACTTTTACTCATTTTAAACTAAACCATAATATCTACATTTCAGTATTTTCAGTAATAATTATTAAGCTGTAAGCATGTGAACCATACAAGCATGCAGTAGATAATCAAGTGACTATTTTCTGCATTTATTTTGTTCTATCTCTTTTTCCTTTTTTGCTTTTTGTTTCTCACATGCCAACATTTACATGTCTGTGAGGAGAAGGACTGAATGTCTTGTCAAGTAAGAAATTTCTTGTACTACTACATTATGCCCCAGGGCTTAAAGCCAGAGTTCCCCTGTCACTCACTCGCTCGCTCACTCACACAGGCACACATCCACAACATTCAGCACAAAATCCTCAAATCAATAACCTCAGGAGTGGGAGGCTGTCTGCATGACTCGTATCGTGATAGATCTCTCCAGTCCTTTTTCCTCACTATTCCTTTTCTTTCTGTGTCTGTTTCTTTCTGTCTCGCTGCACTTTTACTACATGATGACGTACCTTTATTCAGCTCCTCCTTTTGTCCTCATCTCTTTATTTCTTTCAGTGCCATTGCAAAGCCTTACATAACTGCGATCAAACCAAGTGGTCCTCCAGGCAAATATGGGGTTCGACATTGAAAATGGGGTCATGATGGGGTGGGTGTGGGGGGTGGTGTCTCATGAGGGTGCATACAACCAACCTCACGGCAACTCTGTATGTGGGTATTCCATCTATGACACACCTATACACACTTTTTCCTGACCTAATTCACTGTTTTTTTCTTGCATGCACGTTTGGACCTGTGATGAGTGGCAAACTAGTTAAAAACTGAAGCAAGTCCACGTAAAACAAAACAAAACATTTATTTGCATAATGTGTGAAGGTTTAGTTTTAGATTATGTTTGTTTTAATAATGACTTGAGTTCTGTATGACTGTTGTGCACAACATGCATGCATGTGTGTGTTTCTGAGCGCTTTGTAGAGTGTGTGCTCAACTGCTGCCGGTTTTATATTTTTGTTCATGTGTCTTTGAAAATGTCGGAGCATTTGTTAGCTGACAAGGACACATACTGAGCAGTCATTCACCTCTCCCTGCTGACATGACCCAACTGTCTGCCCTTCCTGTTACAGCTGGGGGAGTTCACCTTCAGCAAACACAGCAGTATGCCTATCTCTTTTATATGCAGATCACTACAGGGATCATGTTTGATTTTATACAATACAGTAGACTTTTTACAAACCGGATTCCAAAAATGTTGGGCCACTAAACAAATTGTGAATAAAAACTGAATGCAAAGATGTGGAGATGGCAAATGTCAATAGTTTATTCATAATATAACATAGATGACAGATCAAAAGTTTAATCTGAGTAAATGTAACATTTTAAAGGAAAAATATGTTGATTGAAAATTTCACAGTGTCAACAAATCCCAAAAACGTTGGGACAAGTAGCAATAAGTGGCTGGAAAAAGGAAATTGAGCATATAACGAACAGCTGGAAGACCAATTAACACTAATTAGATCAATTGACAACATGATTGGGTATAAAAAGAGCTTCTCAGAGTGTCAGTGTCTCTCAGAAGCCAAGATGGTAAGAGGATCACCAATTCCACCATTGTTGCACAGAAAGATAGTGCAGCAATACCAGAATGGTGTTACCCAGCATAAAATAGCAAATACTTTTAAGTAATCATCATTAACCATGCATAACATCATCAAAAGATTCAGAGAATCTGGAACAATCGCTGTGCGTAAGGGTCAAGGCTGTAAAACTCTACTGGATGCTCGTGATCTCCGGGCCCTTAAATGTCACTGCACCTCAAACAGGAATGCCACTGTCAAGGAAATAACAGAATGGGCTAAGGAATACTTCCAGAAAGCATTGTCAGTGAACACAATCCACTGTGTCATCCGCCATTGCCAGCTGAAACTCTACAGTGCAAAGAGGAAGCCATTTCTAAGCAAGCTCAGACGTTTGCACTGGGCCAGGGGTCATTTAAAATGGAGTGTGGCAAAATGGAAGATTCTTCTGTGGTCAGATGAGTCATGATTTGAAGTTCTTTATGGAACACTGGGACGCCATGTCATCCGGACCAGAGAGGACAAGGATAGCCCAAGTTGTCATCAACGCTCCGTTCAGAAGCCTGCATCACTGATGGTATGGGGTTGCATGAGCGCTTGTGGCATGGGCAGCTTGCATGTCTGGAAAGGCACCATTAATGCAGAGAACTATGTTCAGGTTCTAGAACAACATATGCTCCCATCTAGACGTCATCTCTTTCAGGGAAGACCCTGCATTTTTCAACACGATAATGCCAGACCACATTCTGCAGCAATCACAACATCATGGCTACGTAGGAGAAGGATCCGGGTACTGAAATAGCCAGCCTGCAGTCCAGATCTTTCACCTATAGAGAACATTTGGCGCATCA